AATCTGATTCTATACTGCTTGGAATCCTTAACTAATCTTGTATTCTATTTAAGTCTCCTTACAGTATGCACGCAACTGATAACTGACATTTTCAGGTCTGAATACCTCTATCCCAGACAGCTTTCTGAGCCATCACAGCTTCAACGGACCACGTAGCGGCTCACCTGGATTGCCTGCTAGTTGTTTGTTCCGGTGAAGTGCAAAGCAAAGCCAAGCTCTAGGAATATGCCTGGTCTGACTAATACAGAAGTAACAGACTACCAGAATTTTAACTTAATGCCAAGTATTTTCCTGGATCAGGTAAGTTTTCAGCATTTTGCAAAACGCCTTATAAAGAGCTGCCAACATAATTATATCTACATATATAGTTTTTGTTTTTACAGATAGCTAAATAATCAAACCCTGGGCTTCTGAACTGTGCCAGGGAGTTGAAATATTCTGATCTACACTATTCGATATATGGCAAAATACATCCTTTTGAATGTCTATGCTACTGGACAAATTTGCAAATAGATAATATTTTTATTAGACCAATTAGTTTTCCAGAAAAATACCCAATCTTCTAGACAAGCTTTTTAGCACAAAAGCCATTCATCAGGTCTGAAGCGGGAGCTAAAATCAAACTGAGAAAGATTGCTTAGAATTCCATTAGAAATGTTGCTGGTACCTGTGGAGCAGAGAAGTAATTTCCTAGGGATTGCTTTTCATATATGTAAGCGTTTCCAAAAATGCAAATGCTGCATTAACAGATATGAAGTATTAGGCTTTCCTTCACATTTCTGTAAGCCCCAGCTTGAAAACTCGTTGGAAAAGATGACAATCAATCACATTTACAAGAGTCAGATATTATCACTGGGAGGTTGAGGACTGAGGTCTCTCTACTTACTCTAACTCATCTTGAGCTATTCTTTCTTGCATATTCAGTTCTCTACTTCTCAACTCTGTGATCATTCTCTCAGCCTCACTCTGCAGTGCTGGAAGACTCTTCTCCAAGGTCTCATCTTGGGTTCTGAGTGTCTCGTTCAGTTTTACAGCATCTTCATTTGCAGCTGCAGGGGGCCAAAAAATATTTATACAGAGAGTTAGTAAATAAAAACAACAGAGAGGCTTCAAGCATCTGCCCATCAACTCAATCAGCAAGTGGAACACAACTTGCATTG